AGCGGAAAAAAATCAATAGTTCAACTGCGGGACAGTGAAAACTGGGAAAAGTTTTGAAGTTGAGTTTTTTCTCTGGAAAAAAAAAAAAGTAATGTCTGAGATCGTTAAAGTTATTTTGCGATGGATCTGAATCCTGAGCTGCAACTTCTTCTAAAGTTAAATGACTTAAATGAATATTATATTTAAAAGCTTTTATATGTGTCACCATCAATAAAAGAGTTTCTTCCCTTATGCACAATAGAACATGACTTTGTGTTTGGTACAAATAAACGGTTCGAGATATTTCCGGTTCCTAATGTTGTGAAATGTTGCTTTCAAGAATAATTGTGTGAAAAAAGTCTCGAGCGATAGACGATTCTTCGAGTCTGAGATAAGAAGGAATCTGAATGTTGGAAACCTGATGAACTTCTCGTCACTTTTTTCAGTTGAATTCTGCACGAACACAAAGAACTGATGTTTTCTTGTTGATGCAGCAGTTTGTATTTTTGTGCCAGTTTTAAAGGTGAAGTTGTCTCGTCTGTGTTTCAGCCTTCACAGCCACTAACTGCTCAACGCTCGGCTTTAACCACTAGGTGGCGCTGAGGCTCGGCTCCAGCTGCAGGTTCAAGAAACAGCTTCAGCTTTAAATCTAGATTCCAAATGATTCATACGAACAAAAATGATTTGAGGTAAATTAAATATCATGTCAACTGTCGACATGAGGATTTCTTTCATTTATCTGCAAAACTGATTTAACTTGAAATTATTTCTACACGAAAGTGTTTCGAGAATTCCTCCGTCAATTAGTTGAAATAGGATTCTTCACGAATAAAGAATAAAGAATAAAAAGTTGAATGTGACTCGAACCTCGACGGAGGCGGAGCCTCAGCTTCATCACTGCTCATTAAGATTCAACAGAATAAAATGTTTCTATCAAACCTGATGAGCTGCAAAGTTTTTATTTCTGGTTTAGTTTTACTCTGATTCACTTCTCTCCCTCCATCTCTCTCTCCATCTCTCCCTCTCTCTCTCCCTCCATCTCTCTCTCTCTCTCCCTCCATCTCTCTCTCCATCTCTCCCTCCATCTCTCTCTCCCTCCATCTCTCTCTCCATCTCTCCCTCCATCTCTCTCTCTCTCTCTCCATCTCTCTCTCCCTCCATCTCTC